AAAGGCTGCCCGCCATCTGCCCTCCGCAGAGCTCGACGAAGAGCGGCAGAGGAGGAAGGGGCACAGAAGCGAGCCTGGCTGAAAGCGCGCGGCACACACTAGCGTGCACCATGCTCCTTTGGGACACAGCAGAGAGTTTAGCAATTAACGTGGCTCCTCATTAAGCAAACGACCCAGCCGCTACAGTCAACGCCTGTTGAACCCAAGTGGAAATGAACCCAAGTGTGAATGAGTTCGAGGGTCCTTCTGTGGTTTCAGATGTTGTCCTTCTCCAGGCCACCTCGAACACCGTCTGGTTTTGAGACCCCAACCTCACAACGCTGTGCTCGGGCTCCCGCTCCACCACGATGCTCCGGCAGCAGCCAGCCCAGCCAGCGTCCCCTCCCGGGGGACCCCCACCCTGGTCTGCGCCCCGAGAGCTGCAGGACTGGGGGACTGTCCCAGCACAACCTTCTCACCCGAGGTCACGTTTCCAACGGGACCTGTACCTGCACGTTTTTAGTCACAAATAACCCCTGAAGCGGAACACGGCACCCCGCCAACGCAACGCGCGTGGCCTTGTTTCACGTGAAATTGCCCCCGACACAGGCACAGAGGGGCCCGAGCCCCCCTGGACACAAAGCTGAGGGGTGGTGGAAGGACCACCTGCCCAGGAGGCTGCTGGAGAAACCCACCGCCCGCCCGGCGTGCTCCATGCTGGCCACCAGCCTCCCAACAGCCAACACCTGCTCCATCAGGAGCTCCACTAGGAAAGGGAGAGAGCTCTACAGACTCCTCAGCGAGGATATTTTGGATGTGAACCACAAGACCTTCATCTTGGGTCTCAATTCGTTATTCCCTGCACACACCTCCGGTGTCTCCCAAGGTGAGAACCCGGTGATATCCCTGCCACAATTTGCCATTAGAGGGCAATGAAGAACTTTGCAAGCTGTCCCCAGGCTCTCCCCTCAAGACCCATGTCCCCTCTATGACACCTCACGGCATGTGGCTGGATGAAGAGACCCAGAGTGCCACCCAACCCAGCTCGCTGGAAGCCAGCAGGGTGGCTCGCCATGCCAGGAACAGGTCTCCTCTTCCCTGCCTGGATCCTTCCCGGCGCTCACCCACCCCATGGCCACCAGCTGGCCCTCTCCAGGATGGGCAACAGCCTTATGAGCTTTGCTCTTCACAGAATCCCAGCATGGCAGGGTT